GTCATAGGGGTCTTACAAATCACATATTCCACCCCTTCACCTACTGCTGCAAACATCTGGACTCTGGGCCTAAGACCTAGGGATGAGCCTCTGAGCAAGGCCCTGGCTGACCGTCCAGGCTGATCTCTGTTTGCCAGTCTCTCTGGGAGGCCACCCCCCCTCCCCACGCTAGTGCATTGCTTGTCTACAGGCATCAGCTAACACTGTCACTTACCGGAATGCCTGCCCCCTCTCTTGGCTCACTCCCACTCACTCTTGGAGACTCAAGGCAGGCCTCATCTCCCCCTGAATCCTCCCTGGCTCATGCCTGCAGGGTGGGCCAGCCTCTAGGCAGCTTATCCCTTACTTGGAAGCTGGGCAGGTGACTTGGCCAAGGACACACATTCAGTGGAGTGGAGTCAGGATTTGAACCAGAGCCTGCTGTTCCCTGGTGGGGTGGGGTGGGGGGTGTTCATAGCCAGGACTGGTGGGGAGGCAAGGGTGGATTGGAGGGTGTCTGGAGATGGCCTCCCCACCCCTGTCAGCTGTGGCTGGTCTGAGGTGGGAGGGTCACTATGTGGTCTATGACCTGTTCAGAGGTGGGTGACTGGAGAAAGTCAAGGCCAGCACTGGCTGACTGAAGCAGAGACAGTCTGAGGGAGGGGCAGGGGCAGCAGGGAGCTGGGCCCACACTCTAGGTGAGGCTTAGGCTTGTTGGTACTTAGACTTCCCAAGTAGATGGGCCACTGGTACTAGGGAATAGGGAGTCCTGCTCTCTGCTGTCGGGGGCTGGGCAGGGAGTTACGAAAGAGATCAAGAAGGCAAGAGGCCCCAGACACACAGGAACCCCTTCAGTGGTCCAGGTGCTCTGAAGGGAGTGGTCTGGTGGTGTGTAGTAGGCCCCAGAGGTGGAGGCTCTTTCCCGTGAGTCTCCATTCACTGTTTTGGAAGACAAGGCACTGGCCCAAGATTCCCTGGTGCTGGTCTCTGGTTTGGCCCAGTGTTTGTGAAACGGCTCCAGGAGACACGTCATTCATCCACAGTTCAACTTTCTTTACCTTTGAGAACAAGAAAAGCAAGTGACAGTTGTGGGTGGATCGCAGGGGTCAGGGTGGGTGGCTCCTGGCTCCAGGCTTGGCTTTTGCCCAGTGCTGAAGGCCGCCACTGCTATACCAGTGTGTTGCCTCTGCCCACCCAGTGTGGACACTCAGCCCTGGGAGACTTGGCCCCTGCCTCGACCCCAGTGTTCTTCCCCCTGACCTTGGCATCCCCTCTGCCACATTGCCCCCTGGCCCAGCATGCTCCTTGTTGCCTTCCCACCACGGGTGTCTCATCCCCTAGCTCATCCTGGCATTCGAGGCCCTAGAGCTGGCCTCGGTGTCCCATACCGCTGTGGCACTGGGAAGGTGTTCACCCTTTTCCACACTGCTACACCCCCATCCTCCTCCATCTGTCCCAGATGTTCACCCGGTCTTGCCTCTCTCCTGCATCATACCTTCCTCAGGGCAGGGCTTACCCACATGCCAGTGAGTACCAGGCAATGGTGAGGGCTCAGTAGATACCCGGGCCCTGTCCTGCCCCCTGCATCTGGCACACAGTAGGCGGGTACCAGGGCCAAAGTCATGGACGGACTTATAGCTGGAGAGGGGTAGAGAGGAGAGGGCTGTGTGGAGCAGACCTGGTGCCCTGGGAAAAGCTTCCCCTGATGTCCTGGCTCTGCAGCTAAGGCAAGGGCTAGCCCTGGCTATTCAGTGGCCTGATAGATGGTAGTGTATACTTTATCCCAGCGATGGGACTCTGGGCAAGCCCGCAGCTCCCTAACTGGGTTGGGATCTGGGAAGGCTAGACCCGGCCTTGAATCAGAGATGAGGGAAAGGAGGAGGAGGGGATTGCTTCCCCGGAATCGTCTGGAAGCAGCCTAGTGCCTGGGGCAGGGCAGCCTGCCTCACCCCATCTTAGTGATGAGGAGAACAGTTCAGGGGGCTGCAGCCAGGCCTGCCGCTACCGTCCATCAGCCCGAGCAGGTCTCCATATGAAGACTGATGAGTTCTTCCATGGAGTGGGCACAGAAAGTCTACCCTGCTGCTGCCATCCTCCTGGGCTTCCGAAGAGCTCCCCAAGAGGGCACTCGGTAGACGGAGCAGCTAGACAGTGGGTGGGCTTGCCTTCCGCAGAATTCAGAATCAGTCTCCATGCAATGACTTCATTCAATTCCCGTGTGTGCCCATTCCCAAGCCACCTTAGGTCAGCTCCCCAGTCTCCCCTCCCCCATCTCTGCCTTGTCCACTCACGGGGTCACGGCCATGCCACCCTCAGGCAGGACACCTCCCCCCCAAGCCTACAGCCAGAAGCCCGCTCTTCTCCCTGAATGCACTGGATTTGGAGTCAGGCTGAGGAGAGTGGAGTCTCTGGCATGCTCACTTGCTGTGTGATCCTGAGCCAATCGCTCTACCTCTCTGAACTTTTTCCTCCCTCCTAAAAGTGGGCATGGTGAGAGTTCCTGCTCTCAGTGTCAATGTGCCCAGTACAAGGTGGGCACTGGTAACTCACAGCCTCCTCACTGGCTGGGTGAGCAGCCCCAAAGGCCTGGGGACAGTCAGGGAGTGAGGCAGGCCGAGCATTGCTTTTTGTCTGTAAGAGGCTACCACGGGGTTTGATGGACAGAGGGGAGGGCCTCCTATGCCTTGGGGACCGAAGGCTGGCAGGATGGGAATGTCCTGGTCACCTCCCACCCACCCCGAGTCCTCTGCTCTCTGGTTGAGAGCAAAGTCTCCCCAGGATGAGGGTGAAGAGTAAGGCCTCTCACGGCGGCCACTTGCTTCCTTGTGGGGCCGACTTTTGTTCTGCTGAGGACGAGAATTTACCAAGCAAATGGCCTGGGAAAGCCGTTTGAGTAATCTGACTTCCCAACCCTAGCACCCTCGAGGTGTGGCGCGGCCTCTTCCTTCTCTCCAGGCCCCTGTTTCTTCACCTATATGAAGAGATAAGGCTGCCTTTTGCGCCTGCTTATCAAGTCAAGATCACAAAAGCGGATCCCTCCAAAAGTGCTTTCTGGAAACACTCACATTGGATTGTGTGCGTGTGGAGGGCTCTCTCCTCAGACTCCACCACGATTCCAGTAGGGACTTCTCGAGCTCACTGGAGCAGAAGAGGTCGCAGGCATTCCTTTTTGGTCTAAGGCTGCAATGCCAGGTAGGGAAGTAATTTTTGAAAGATGACTCAGTCCATGTGGATAGAAAGCAATGAATGATACCCCTGTGCAGCCTGAGCCTGTAAGTCACTTCTAGACTTGTTCTAGAGCCACAGGAAACTCAACCCCCCCTCCCCACCCCTGCCCCCTCCCTGGAGGACAGAGCTAGCCTCAAGGGCCTGGCCTATGTCTTGGCCTGCTTTGATTGAAAAGGCTCTCCAGCCCACAGGCTGCCATGAAACTTGCCAGCTGTGGGGCACTGGTGCCCTGGTCACGCCGTGCTGACCCCTGGGCTTCCCAGCCTCCTCCCCTTAAGCACAGCACTCTGACACCCCCAGCTTTTCAGGCCAGACCTTACACCTGTCCACCTGTCCGTGTTTGAATTTTCCAGAGGGTAATTCTTGAGTCAAAGGGAATGCTCATTTGGGTCTGTGGCAATTGTTCTACCACTGGCCCTCGGAGAGGCTGTAGCTTTGCCCCATCTCATGTATTCAGATGAGGATGTCTTCCCTCGGGAGGAAGTGGAAGTGTGAGGCTCCCAAACCGGTAGATTCGTGGCTGTTATAAAAGTGTTCTCAGGGTTCTCCAGGTTGTCTTGGGTCGGGGAGGGTTCCATGTAGGGTCCACGGGGTTGGCTCTAGGGGATGGGCGGTGGGCAGGTACTGGGAGCACTCGGGTCTGAATGTGACCTTTGCCCCTTGAGGTCCTCCCAGGGAGACACTGAATTCCCGACTTTTGAACCTGGGGATGTGGGTCTCTGGGCATGGTGGGAGGCCCACTTGGCTGAGGAATTTGGGTCCCAAGGGGTAAGGAGATCTCATAGCTGATAGTGACAGCCATTCTCTTCCTGCAGGATGGCCGAACCTCGATTTAACAACCCCTACTTCTGGCCCCCTCCTCCCACCATGCCCAGCCAGGTAAGACTGTCGCTCCCGCTGCCTGCCTTCCGCATTGAAGCTGCTATTCTTTGCCTGGATTTGGGCTGCAGCTTGCAGCGAGAGGGTCCTGGAGTGCGGCCCACCCACCCCAACCTGGCTCCTCCCCCTTCTGCAGCTGGACAACCTGGTCCTGATTAACAAGATCAAAGAGCAGCTGATGGCCGAGAAGATCCGGCCGCCCCACCTGCCACCCACCTCAGCCTCATCACAGCAGCCACTGCTAGTGCCCCCCGCGCCCGCCGAGAGCAGTCAGGCCGTCATGTCTCTGCCCAAGCTGCAGCAGGTGCCGGGGCTGCACCCGCAGTCTGTGCCGCAGCCCGACGTGGCGCTGCATGCGAGGCCGGCCACCAGTACTGTCACAGGTAAGCTGAGTGGGCGCGGCTGGAGGAGGTAGGGAGATATGGTGGGGTCTGTGGAGTGGGCGGGGCTGGAGGAGGTAGGGAGAGTAGGTGGAGTCTGTGGAGTGG